GTGTGTGTGTGTGCGTGCGCGTGCGCGTGCGCGCGCGCGCGCGCTTTAATGCCCCAACCCTTCAACTGCTTCATCGTTGATGAGTTTGTTATCCGAACTCTGATGTCACCATCTTATCTTTATCCATCTGCAAATGGCCGTCATGTTGTTTACGTGTGTCATTGTAATCCCCCGAAACGTACAGACTGATTGTTTCTCGTGCCATGAAGACCAGGATGAAACCTTTTGTTTTAATTGCGCCCCCCCCCTCTCCCCTAAGAAAAACAACAACAAAAAACAAAACAACCCTTGCCCAACAAACAACAATAAAACAAAACGCAAACAAAATGTAAAAGAAAAAAGGAAAGAGAGAGAGAACGAGAGAAAGAACGAAAAGCTGAACAAGCAAAAAACCCCATTAAAAACAGCTAATGAGCGAAATGTGTATTCATAGCGGCCACTCTGCACTGTGTGGGTGGGTCCTGGGCTTTTTACCTAGAGACTTAAGCCTCTCATTTAGGTGAACAGGCACACACGAATGCAAGATCACAGACGGCATGCGCACGCATGCGTTATTCAAATACACAATCGCAGACACACACACAAACACACACACACAGACACACGTGCGCGCACGTGTACACATAAGCGTACGTACGCACGCACGCGCACACACTCGCTCGCACACACACACACACACACACACACACACACACACACACACACATACACGTATAAATATATTATGCATGTATACATATATACACACGTACGCCCAATCATACACATACCCACATTTAGACATACATACAAACGTTTTCAGGGAAAATTACAAATAGGAAATAACTATCTACAACCCTATCAATCAAACGGTTATGATTTATGATATAAAAGGGCTGATTTGAAAGAGACTAAACAGAATGATAGATAGGCAGGATAGCAAATGAACAAATGGAGAGAGAGGGGGGGGGAAACGAGAGAGAGAGAATGGGAGAGAGAGAGAGAGAGAACGAGAGAGAGAGAGGGGGGGAACGAGAGAGAGAATGGGAGAGAGAGAGCACTAGAGAGAGAGAGAGAGAGAACGAGAGAGAGAGAACGAAAGAGAACGAGAGATAGAGACAGAGAGAGAACGAGAGAGAGAGAACGAAAGAGAACGAGAGAGAGAGACAGAAAGAGAACGAGATAGAGACAGAGAGAGAACGAGAGAGAGAGAGAGAAAGAGAGAAAGAGAGAGAGAGAGAGAGAGAGAGGGGG